CTTATGCATAGAGTAGCCATGGTGGAAGGAACGTTCCCTGTATGACCTTACCAGCATGGGATCCCAGTCATCAAGCCTTATCTTGCTATTGCTGATGCCACATATTTAACCTGCCAGGGACACAAATCAGTGAATTCCCAATGTGGCATCATTCCTCAGGGAGACAACCCAGCCATGTGTGGACGATTAAGGCACAGAGAAACTTCTTTACCATCAATTGTGCATCTGTCAAGAATGGATTTGGCCACTTGCCTGTGCCTTGTCTGGCACCACTAACAGAATCCTTTAGGGGAGCTGGAGACATAAACAGAGGAAATTTTGTATGATCACCTTGAGCCCCAATACCATATAGAGTAAGGAAGGTCCTCAGTGGCCACGTGACAGGAGATCCAAACTTTCTGTGTCATGGAAGACCACTCAGGAACAATGGAATAACATATTAGTCCTCCCAACTAAAGGAATAACCATTTTAAAATGAAAATTATTTGTAAATTTAAATTAACTCTAGGTCTATTTTCTTCACCTGACAGCAATAAGTAGAACACAAATTTCACTAACCAAGATGTGGAATGACTATGCGTCTTATCATTCCTTGAGTCTTCCGTGGGGAATATGTACTGCTGGCCCACAGCGTTATACTCTGAGCTTCTCCACCTGTGCTGTCCATTAAAGTGTACCTGTTTGCTCTTTAATCTATGCAAAGTAAAATTAAAATTGTAGCTCTTCAGTAGCAGTAGTCACATGTCAGTAATATATAACAACATGTAGTAGCTAGGTCCCATATGTACAGTGCTAAAAAAATGTATTTATTTTCCAAGGTGAACCCTTCCACCAAGAGAAGAAACAGGGCATCCTAGGGAGCTTTAAGCTTTAACTCCCACCTGGGCATTTTGCTTTCAGTGTTAGGAATGGATCCCTCCAACACTTGCAGACCTCTAGTAGGATCTTGAACCTACCAGACCAGTGCTGCAGGGCTGAGCTACCCCCCACAACCTTCACCTGCAGGGCTTCTGGTTCTTCTGGTTTCATACCAGCAGGCACAGAAAAAAGTCACAACCCAGTCGGGGAAAATGACCCTGTTCATCAGGCGAGGGCAGGGATACTCTTACATAATAGGGACAGAGGTGTCCAGGTGATCCTTTTGAATTTGTTTCTGTGATTCTCTGCCTGATTTCATAGCCTGGAAGAGGCTCAGAACCCTGAAGGAGAAGGGTCTGTGTTACAGCATCAAATGTGCTACTGTAACATGCTCTGCAAAGTGCAACTTTATTTTCATTTTTTAAAAATTTTATTTTAAGAAGGGGAAAATACCACCAATGAACAATGAAACTGTTTCAAAACAAATTAGTAGGACAGTTACAATAGTTCATGTATTGTGCATCGCTGTCTTCCTAGTTTAAAAGTTTGATTTATTTTTGATTAGACATGAGCAACTGATCCAGACCTTCTATTTTTTAGTACATAATCAACATCCCCTCTTCTCCTCAGCCCAAAAGGAGTGACAGAAGATGCAGATGTCTCCAGCTCCGGGAGGCTGGAGCCTGGTGCCCTGCCCTCAGGACAGTGGAGAATGAGCCGAAGACGGCTGTGAATGACAAAGTCAGTGTGGCGGTCCACAGTTTCCTCCTGTGCGCTCTCTGCCCTCTGTGCCTAGGAATAAAAAGCCCTCCCCACCTGCACAAGGCAAGATGGAGATCTGAGGCAAAGGGCCACTGAACCTCCTTAGGGCAAGTTTGAATAAATATTTTTTCCTTTTATGCCAAAATGTATGGCTTCATTGTTTTGGTCATCCACAAATCAATGAACTTATGTTTATGAACCTTAGCACTCCCAAGAACAGCAGAGATGCTGACTGCATTTGACAGTATTCCAAAGCACACAATAAACTAGCAGTGTGGCAAAGGAGCCAAGTGCAATAGGGGGCACATCGCTTTCTCATGAGAACTGAGTTAAGAAAAGATCAACCAGCTACCTTAAGAAGTCTTCAAAGGATGAGAATCTTCCTGCTATGAAATGAGTCATTTGATCATCTTCCTACAAGTACCTATTCAAATTGGGACTCGTGAGCTGGGTGACCAGCTGTGAAGTGACAGCTTTCAGTTCAGCTTTTAAACTTGAGTCTGTTCAACAAGTCTCAATTGGAATGAGAACTATGTTCATGGTATTTTTATGTTGGGTGCGACCCCAGCTCCACCAAAAACACACAGGAGGAACTTAAGAACATATCTGTTATTAGGGACCTTCAGAGATATCTGTCTGTTGCCATCAGCACTGGATCCTGTCTTGGGCTAAGTGTGTGCAAGTAGGGACTCAGAAAGCATAATGTTTCAAATCTCGCTGGCTGAGACCAGGTCCGGGAGAGGGGGGAAGAGTGGGATGGAGCTACAGGAGAAGGAAACCTACAGTCAGCTCAGAGATTTGGGTGGTTTTAGTACCACTTGCCATTCCTTGGGGAGTACATCGCAACTGCCAGGGGATTGACAGGTGTGCTCAGGAACCTGACATGTGTAAGCTGCATGAAGGAAACCCTGCAGTCAGCATCTATGTGGCAGCTCCTGTCTGGGATCTCCAAGGCACATAATTAACTTACTCTTGCAAACATGCACGTGTGAAACACCCAGGCCTGCAAACACAGAGGTCTATGTGCCGTGTGGCCATGGTGTGAGTAATAATCCAGGGCTTCTGCAGCTCCTTCCATAGAGATAGCTGTAACAAATAAGCAATCGGTCTGCAAGCATCTTTGTGGCATGGGATTATCTAATAAACCTTTCTAAGGACAAGTGAAGTGTAATACTCCCAAATCCAAAAAAGAGGGGAAGATTAGCTGAGTGTGGCTCAGGACATGTAGTTAGTTGCATGGGATTGTAGCAGATGCTCAACCAAAAGGAGGACATAATGTTTATTCAGATAAAATTCTCTTACTTGCTGTGAAGAGCTGCTGCATGTGTGAAATAGTCCTGTCAATTCTTCAGCCTTTTCAAGTGCCACCTATTCTGCAGCACATTCTTCAGATTTAGAATCAATCACATTTACATGCTGTGAGTGACCGTCTCTGAACACCAGACCTGGTTTCATTAGGCATACTGAAAACGAGGACTTGCTGGTGGCGAGGGACACAGATCAGAGACAGTACAAAAATGTTTGTTCTCTTTTCAGAACAACAGAGAAGCACTTACCACCTACTCAGAGACTTCAGGTTTTAGAGGAACTCAGCCACAGTTGAAGTTTTTCTTTCCTCTACTGTGGTGAGTATGGTCTTGCCTCATCTGCAGCTTGTCAGGGAGCTGTGGGTTTTACCACTTATGTAAGCTCACGCACCCACACTTGTGTTATGTGAATCTTTTTTAGTATCACATTTCATTAAAATTCTACAAAAATGCCACGCGGGTCTCAAAAGCTTTATTTACCTCCCAAGACAAATAAGCCACGATGCTCCCTATCAAACAACTTGTCACCCTTTGGGAAAGCTTGTGACTGTGTTATTTTGATTTTCAGGCACTTAACCCAGGCTCTGCACACCGTAGTTCAAAATTACATTTTATGTCAAAAAGGCTGTGGCTACTAGATGGTTTCAAGGGTGAGCAAAGGGACAGGCAGTGCCTTGTCCATGAGATAACTGACGGCAGGTGAATCTGAGCAGTTGCCCGAGTGGAGTGGACCCACTTTCTGCTGTTTTATACACTTAATTCAGGCAGGGTTTCAGTGTCTCGGATTCAGAGTCTTTCTAAAGCATTTTTGTTTCTCTGAGAAATAAATTCAGAACACAGATGGGTTCAGGTCAGAAAAATGAAAATGGTGGCCTGGAGATGACCTCACAATAAGCGTCTAGTTTGTGGCATTGTCATTTACTATATAGGGATCCTGAGAAGTTCCAAAGCCCAGTAGATCTCAGTTTCTTCATCTATAAAATGGGTTTCACACACATACTTGGTTGTAGAAATGGTAGAAGGGAAGACGTGTACAGCAACACCTGATAGAATGCTAGGCATACATTGAATATTTGCTGATAAGCAGTTGCATCTAGTATTACTTTAGCTTAGATACTATCATGCTTTTCCTATAAAATTTGTGTGTGATTTCTCAGGGAAGCTGCACCTGAACTGAAAACTAAAAAAAATCAGGCAAAACTGCTACTCAGTAAACCTTCCCTCTGTATGTTTTATCTAGTAGGGTATATTATTTGATTTGATGTTGGGGAGTATTTTTTGATGGAAAAAGCTAATTAAGTATTTTTGAAATTTTCACTGTCACAATTTTCAATTACTTTTACCATAAGTCTAGTGCTGAGGCTCTCAGGCCTCTATGACAATGAGGCCTAAACCCCTTGACCATTTATAGTGACAAGGCCAGCTCAGTGGAGATATTTTTCCATGAAGCTCCAAGCTGAATTATACACCCTGACAACAGCAGCGCAAGCTTCTTTCAGAAAAGAAACATTTGAAAACTGATCCAGCCTAAGTACTGATGTCAGACCAGGAGAGGCCTCTTACAAACTCTTAGCCCATGGAGGGAGAAACTTTAGATCAAGCAATCATGGGATCATTTGTGTAAGTGGCCCATGCTATTGGGCAGATTCTGACACGTATATTGGGAGAGTTTTGAAGCAAAGTGGTCTTAAGTGCAGTTGCGTCCTGGAAAGCATGTCAACTCTGGCAATGCAAGGCCCTGGAAAGCAGATATACCCACCTGACTAGGGAATGTACAGCCTCACTTAACCTGAGAGTCTCTAATGAAATTCTTTCAGAGGCTGGGGAAAAGTCCTCTTGAAGAAGACCACCACATCTCAGGGTCTGACCATGGCCACCAAGGAGTTGCATTAAAATCATCTCCTGCAGATGGAACTGGCTGCTCCCTGCTAGACCCCACATTCTTAGCGCCTTTTTACTTGTCTTCTGGGTCCCTTGAGGACATCTCTCTATATTGCAACACTGGCGGTGCCTGTAGACTCCACCATGCTGTGGAGTAGGATTGATCCTGCTAAGTCTAGTGTAGTCATATCACCATCAGAGGCACAGGGACTTCCAAAGGGCACACATGCAATGGAGGTCAATGGGTCCATGAACAGATGGGCTTCTTTGCTGATCATAAATTACCCTCATGTAATTGAAGAAATGAAACATATTAGGGCAAATATATACTTTGATTGCAAAACAACAGAGAAGCAGCAGCCAATATTGATTTTTATCCTTGATATAATCTTTTTACTCATTTACATGGAAATTCCGATTCCAACACTATAGCATCTTCTTCAAAACAAAACGAAAGGCTTCCAAATTGGTTTCACAAAATAGAAGAGGAACACATGGAATGGAAAAACAAAATTCTTATATGACTGATATCACACAAATTCACCTTCACATGAGAAATTACAATAAATTATCAATATCACAAAACTAAAAATACACATGAGATCAGTACCATTATTAAAACAATATGTACAAGTTTTTCCAAGCTTTCAAAAAAGGAATATGATTTCAAAAATTATATATAAAAAAAGACATATCACTCCTGGGCACGGTGGCACACACCTGTAATCCCAGTACCCAGGAGGCTGAAGCGCGAGGATTGCCAAGCGTTAGATGTTAGCCTGGCCTGCACAATGACTTCAAGGCCAACCTGGGCTACAGCATGAGACATTGTCTCAAAAACACAACTTAAAAATCCTCTCCAAAAAAGAAAAACGAAAAAGAAAAGACAAGACATGATCATTTCCAAGTAAGTCAAATATAATAGGCATCAAGATGGCATGCATGGTACTTTTACCCCCTCGCCTGATCCTTCACTACTTGCAAAGCTGTGTGTAATCGGAAACACAGAACAAACAACGTGAGTTATTTGACATGGAATGGGAACTAAGATAGTGATATGGTTAGGACCACCTGTGGTGCCTGGCATGCACCTTGCCTCTTTACTGGCCTATTTATGATGCCTCGCTGGCCTCTTGCTCCTCTCTCACAGCTTGTGCATACAGATATGTATAGGACTTGGGATCTCTCTTATTAATTTTGGCCAAATGCTCCAGGACTTTCATCTTGCTGGTTTCAACATGGGCCCTTGGACCCCACAGGAACTCATAGCAAGCAGGTTCACTGTCGGGGACCTGGTGATACACTAGATACCCTTCCTGAACCAAATCCTCTTTGATGAATTTCCAGGGCTCCGCAATGACAAAGTGATATTTCTGAGGTAACATTTCCCTAGTTCTTAGGAATTCCTTTATGTCCTCCTCACTGGCACAGTTACCTTTCAAGAAGATGATAGTCAAGGTGACGATTAGGAGGTCAGCTTTGGAAAGGCACTGGCAATCATCACTGAGTATCCCTTGAAAAGTGAGGCCCAAGACAGGCAAAAAGACATATGTGTGGTCAGGTGGATGCATTTCCCTCAAGTTAATGCCAAAATTCATATGCATGCATTCACAGGCTGCCTTCAATATTAGAGGGTATTCCTCATGATCACTATCATCCACATTTTGAAGGATTTCTGCCTGGGTGATTGGCTCTTGCTTTTGATACTTTAGGAGCATTAATGGCAACAATCTAGTTATCTTGTCATCTAGAAACATAAGGTGCAAATACTGAAGGACTAGCACGTCCTGGGAAGTGCGTAGATCCTCTTCATTCTTATTTGAACACTCACTGGTTTGGCTCCTTTGACTGGAGGCCATGGCAGTGGTGGGGAGAAGATTCCCTGAGGATTTGGGGGACAACCTGGTAGCCCAAAGAACTTCCCTTGCTGTACCAGAGAGCTGAGTACTGGAGGAAGAGGAACCCAAGGAAGCAGTGTTTGCTGCTTCCCTCTCTGACAGGTTTGCACTGTACACCTCTTTGGATAAGATGGACTCTCCCTAACTTTCTGTGCTGTTTCCTTTGACCATGAAGAGGTTCCAAAGTTCCTTGGGACACCGAGAGCTTGGTGATAATGATTCAGATGCCTAGAGGAGAAAGGAAGACTGTGAGTGTTCTTACATGACAAGAGCACTGTTGTTAGCTCCCACAAAGGTCCACTGTAGGTTTTCTCTTTGAGTGGTGTTCACAGGGTCCTGTCCTCCAAGACACACTGGAGGACCCAAGAATCTGGGACAGAAAGTCAAACTGCTTCTCAGGTTGCAGATAAATGGCAGAGGACAGAATCAAGGGTAGACTGTAGGACATGTGGGGTCCGTGCACAAAGATTCCTATCTGTCTCTTGGCAGGTAGAGACCTAGGTACATATTCAGGGCACGCAGTTCACCTTCACTTCTGGGCCTCCTGTCCTGTGTGACCTAGGGATGCTGCCTCATACCAAGACCTTCCTGACTGGTTCCTGAAGCTCCTGTAAGAGGGTGAAAGGCCCCTCAAGGTGCAGACTACAAGCACAGTCTTAGTCCTCCAGCCCTCACAGGATAGGGTAGGCTGGAGTCTTTGTTGTCTCCACTGTTTGGGGTGAATGATCCCCACTCTACTCACTAAGGACCCTTCGCACTCCTTGAGCAAGATCTGGGCTCCAGCTTTTTGTTGGCCTGAAGCAAACTCTCACAAAGTGTCTTTTTCCTTAATAGAAAAAAAGGCTACAAGAGGGATACGCATCTGGACATGGCTGCCAAGGGCAACAGTTGTAGGTAGAAAAACCCATTTGGGTCCTTATGCCCTAGGAAAGGGTATTTGCTCCATCTTATCTTGATAAATGGTTAGGTCTGGAACTCTCCCTGCAATGACCTGTATTTACCTTCTTTAAACCACCACCCTATGTCTGTGAGGCACTCAAAGGGAAAGTGAGGTGAAGCTAGTTCATCTGGGTTCCCTGGGTCTGGTGACATGTGACAAAGGGACAGGTTGAAGTTAGGGTTCTGTGTATTCTGTGAAGCAGGGTTTTCTCTGCTTCACCTAGACCCTTGGTAGGCCCTGGATTTCTACTTCTCATGTTGGATTCTAGCTCCCTTGTTTTCAACCTTCACCTCACTGAGAGCAACCATGCAAAACAAAGAGAGCTGACTGAGGCTTGCAGCTCTGCCCAGCCTTCCTGGCATGATCAAGGGCTCAGCGAGTAAATCTGTGGAGCATTCACCATCTGTGTTCTTGGCAGGGTATGCTCAGTCTTGATTAATGCCCTTACCTTGACTCTCGGAAGCTATGGAAAGTGTAGGTTTCCTGACAAGGTGGGGTTCTCTGTGCCAACCTGAAGACCCCACCTCAGATCAGGTTGCTCACATCCTTGAGATTTCAAGGATTTTTAAAGCAGTGAGCAGGCACCCATCTTACAATGCCTACATTAGGACCCCATTTCTGACTGTAATAGCTGTGCCTAACTCTATAATGCAGGGCTCTTGCTATGGTTTAAGTCTGGATTCCTCCTCCCCAAACTCCAATGGGATGATAGGGAGGAAATTTTGAAAGATGATTGAATTACAGAGGCTTAAACTTTACTGTTAGGAGGTGGGGCCTTTCAGCATGAGGAGGGTCACCATGGGTGTGACAGGTCAGATTATATCTTTCTGTTTTCCCTCTTCACTGTCTGCTTTCTGTGGAATTTTCAGTGCTTAGCTTTCCTCTCATCAGGCCATTCTACTCTGTTGTTGTGCCTTTGAGCTGGCTGCATATGGGCTGAAACCTCTATAAATTGGAAGCTCCAATCAAATTTTCCCCATTGAATTGTAGCTGTTGGGAACTGTGACTCAGCAATGAGATTACTTATGCGCTTCTGTAGTTTCTTCATCTTTCCCTGTATATATCTCCTCTTACCTCCCTGATGACACTCCCTTCCTGCTTGAGTTAAAGGTGAGCATCTGCTTAGTACCCTCAAGGGCTGATGCAGTCAATGGGCAGACTCTCCTTGCCTGTTGTTTGTGGATAGTGGGCACTCCAACTCCTAAGGAACTGGTCATATCTTAAGTCTGTCAGCTCCTGGGATACTCCATCTACCAAACATACCTAGATTTCTCCACTGATTTATGATTACCTTGTAGACCAAGGTCCTCAGCTCCCTTCGTGCTCCCAACTGCAACCACTTAACAGAATTTCAAGGGGTCTATAAGCACCCATTGCTCCCCAACTGGAGCTTTATGTTGATAATAGGGCAATCTAGGCTTGGCAGGGTCATTTATTTTTATGCGTATGGGTTACTTAATAGATCTTCCACGCTGGAAAATAGCAGAGTGCTGAGCTATAGCCAGTCAGCCTCTCCAAGATTCAGAATTCACACTCTGCAAAATCTCATTTTCAGGGGAGGGAGGGAGGGGGAGAGGGAGAGGGAGGGAGGGAGGGGGAGAGGGGGAGAGGGAGAGAGGGAGGGAGGGAGGGAGAGAAAGAGAAAGAGAAAGAGAGAGAGAGAGAGAGAGAGAGAGAGAGAGAGAGAGAGAGAGAGAATATGAAAATGAATGAGAATCTTTGGTAGTCCAGAAGGAAATGATAGGAAAAGTAAATACTAGAGAAGTAGAAGAGGCCAATTATAATGCAGACAAGTTAAAACTAAGAAGAGTCTTGACTTATACTTTATTTCTACCTCGTGGGAAAGGAAGTGAATTCATACAATCAAAGCATAACCTGTGGGATTACAGGAGGTCTCACATCAAAAAGGTGATTGTCCAATGTACTGGCAGTGGCTGTGATCCACAGGGACAGTGTTGAGTTGTGCTCCCACAGAGTCTTTACACAAGAAAAAGTGTGCAAGTGAGGCTTGTGCACCATATCCCTGAAGAGTGTATAAGTTTAGGTACCATGCTGGGAAAGGATTGAGTGTTTGAACCTGGACTCAGAACAGCCAGAGGATAGCTTCTCTTTGAGGTTCTCAGTACTACCCTGCTACAGTGACTGGGAGAGTTTCAGGCATCTTCCCTGGACAGGGAAGGGGCTGGAAAATGACACCATGAAGGATTTTAACTCAGCTAGAAAGGCCATAGAGCCCTTTCCATTTGGTCAGAGCCAGGCCCAGACTGAGTTTCTCTGGATTTGAAGGTCATGGCTTTTTAGTTAAACTCTTGCCCTTTCCCCTGCCCTTTCCCTTTCCGATCTGGGGACTGGCTGACTTCCTTATCTACCAGTATGAGTGGACCCCTCTTTACATGGACACATCTACACCTTGAGAAAAGCAGAGGGGCATCTAAGTATATCAAGAATTGCTACGCTCCAAAATTCTGGATCCAGAAAGAAACACCCATTTAAACTCAGATTTTTTTCTCATCTGTTTTTCACACTAATTCATTCTTCTCATCCTTTTTCCTTTTAATCTTTCCTTATTTTATTGTCTGTATCATATCTTTCCTCTTTTTTGTATTGTCTTCAATTTCTCCTCAGTTTTTTTCTGTTACTTTCACCTCATTCTATGAACATCCTTCTAATCCTTCTAATAGGATCTTTTGTCTTGCTTCTCTATCCTCTTTTATCTTATAGTGTGACCTTTCGTGATTTTCTCGTGCATTCTCCTTTTTCCAGGTCATATAACTATAATAGTATAACCATTAAGATATATTATTCTTTGTATAATTAGGTAAGACTATAATACTACTGTTAATTTTTTCTACCACCACTTGAGTTATCACTGTTGAAGTTAGTACACATTAGCTACGTGTCAATATCTGAGTTATCTTAATGTTTATACTAAAATTGTACATTTCTACTCTCTAGTTTATTAAGGTATGTAATTGTTACTATCTGTATTTTAATAACCTCTATATGTTGCACGGTACTGTAGTAGCTGATTTTCTTAATTTTGCCAGGGTAACACAATTGTTACCATTAATGGGTTTTCTGTATTACATTACCAAGATTTCCTTTGTGATATTAATAATACCAGGGTACATTCCCAGATAACTTCTTGTTGGGCCAATTAAACATTATCTTCCCCTCCCAAATCAACAGGAATTGTCAGATCTTAGGGCAGAGGGAAAAGACTGCAGTTAGCGATGATCCAAACAAGTCTCTAATCTAGGAACAACGTCTTTCCATTATAACCACTGTAAACTTCAGCATACAAAAAATAGAAACTTGAGAAAACCAGAGTACAAAATGTCTCCCAAAATTTCTACCTATCTCAAATTCAATCCTAGAGTTTCATAAGGGAAAATGTCATGAACCATGTACCTGAATAACTCAGAAGGGTGAAAAAGGGGTTTAGAAAAAAGGTCAAAGAAGTGCTCAGTGAAATCAAGGAAAACATAAATAAACAGATATTTAAAGTAGGATCCAAATTGGTCAAGGAACTTGCAGAAGACATTAATAAAAAGTCGGTATAGCTAAACAAAACCATTCAAAACATGAATTGTTTATGAAAGAATTACAGTCTATGAAACAATTTCAATCAGAAATTCAAGAGATTAAGTATTACATTGAAATTGTACATAGCAGAAGTGACTACAAAGACAGAAAAATTCCAAATAATCCAATATTAGCTAATTAAACTGAATAATTTTACTTAAATACTATCAACTTAAAAAAGCCCAGGTACCAATGGATTGAGTCTTTAATTCTAACAGAATTTTAGAGGAGTTATAATGACAATATTCCTCATACTCTTAAATGAAATTGAAAAAGAAGCAGTACTCCCAAAATCATTCCTGAAAGCAAGTACTAACATGATTTCTAAAGGAAAAATGGATCCATCCAAAGAGAGTCAATTTCTTCAATGAACGGAGATTCAAAATTCCTCAATAAAATACTGACAAACAGAATGCACTGAATCCAAGTAAATCAAAGGGCACAGGCATGGTTCACCATGTACAAATCCAAAATGTAATACACTGCATAAGCAGAATAAAGGACAACAATACAAATATATCTCAATATATGCAGAAAATATATTTAATAAAATCCATCAATCATTCATGAGAAGTATCCTAACTAAAATAGGTATAGAATAACCTAAACTCAAAACTCAATCTGCCACAACTATCTATGACAAACCAATGGCTAAATTCATATCAAATAGGAGAGAAGCTGAAATCTCTCTCTCTAAAACCAG